TATATCACATTTTTTTATATATATACGTATTTGAAGATAATAATTTGTTTACACTTGCGAGTAGTATACACTATATTATAATCATAATCGATCAATTGTTTATTATTTCAAACATAATCTTAAGTGTTTGATATTAGTTGTATATTTCTTCACACTGTCATTTGTTTTGTAAGTATTCATTGGTTTCTGATTTGGAATTAATAACTCAATGGATAAAATACAACCATCTCTCAGACTCCTGTTGCAGTTTATTAATTAGCAGTAATTATAGAATGCCCAGATCAGATTTTTTCGATTTTCTTATTTATCTGATTGAAATTATGCACTCAAAGGACKTTTCAACTTTTGAAACTTCACCTGAATCGTTCATTGTGGACTTTTTCTACGTCATAGACTTCGGAAACTATAAGATTGTTAAGTGAGATATAATTAGATACATATATAGAATGGAGAAGAGTTTTGGACTGGAATCGTTAGATATGGTTAATRTTTGATACTTTCACCAAGTCCCATACCTGCAATTTCCTACCTTAGTTTTAAGGAGAAGTTTGAGATAAGTAGTTTTATTACTAATTTAACGTGTTTTGAAATTTTTAGTTGAAAAAATCTGCAGAAGCAATTATTATAGATGCAGGAGGTGGAGTTTGTAGTAAATATGTTATAGTGTGTATCACACGTGAAATGTTTCCTAAAATCTATAGTTGAACATGTTATATAAAATACAACATACAAGCATCACTCTTCAAAAATCATCATTTGTAATCTAATTKAATTAATACATAGGTACAACGAGCAATTTTAATATAATGTTTTTAACTGTTCCATTGAATAAATAAAAAAAAACTATCAAAAATAATTGATAGGGTACATTTAATAGTAAAACCAGATCAAACATTTTTCATTTCAGATACCTCATATTTACACAAATTATTTGCACTTAAATACGTAATGTGTATAAATACTATAATAATAGGCAATGAGTGCAATATTTCATATTAATATATTATATATGAAGCATTTAACTATAAAMATAGATTATAATTTATATTATACATATTAACGGGTTCCTAGTGTTCCTACCCCCCACGAGACACTTGATAAAGCAAAACAAAATTTTATGATATAATTAGTCTGCAGTTGATTAGCATTAGTATAATGCACATTCAATGTTATCAATATTCAAAAATGTATTTATTGAGAATTGCTATTCTCTGATTAACAGCAAAATTTCAAATTATTTCCATATGAGTATTTTCATAAATAGGTAAATTTTTTATTCACGTAAAATGTTATAGTTAATTTAATTAAGCAACTCGTGTTATATCGATTATACTTTTGTTTATTTWAATTTAAATTTAATTATGGAAATTATAATATTATCTCGAGTATGTATTAATCATTTTTGTTTATTAAATAACTGTTTGTATGGTTATACCTGTTTCGTAATAGGTTTAATTTATTTTGTAGATAATACGAGTCACATTCAGATACAATGCACTCTTATAAACACCGGTACTTATTTTAAGTTCAAAATAGTTAAATTATCAAATAATCTTTAAGTAGTTTTTATAGGTATTTTTTACTTCACTAAATAGAAAAATAARTCTTAATTCAATATAAATACGCCCATGACGCATGTACACTAATTTATATACTTACATTCTAATAACTGTAATTCATTAAAYAATAAAGTGCAAAAAAATAAGAAAAACTTTACCAAATCTATACTATTGGCATGGTAAATTTATTTGTGTTTCTTGGATTAGTTAACTAAATATTTAAGGTTTGTAAATTTACTTACTGATTACTGGATTTAATGTTTGATAATTCCAGCGTATTTCATCATAGCCTGAAAAACAAAGAACAACTTGTTTTTAACTATGAAAAATATTAGTATCTATAACATTATTTAAGAATTAAATTACATTACACATCTATCAAATTTAATTGATAAATAACCATATTATACTCTTTTCTCGTAAGAGCAGTATGGTAAACTATTTTAAAAATACCCGAAAAAGAGTTAAAGGAATAATTTTAACCATTTTTACTAAGTTAATAAGTTTTAATAGCCAACGGTATTCAAATTTTAATGAAATTAGCTGCCAATAATAATTCAGGATTTATCATGAGGATGCCACACGTGCATTTTTTATCTCCGTCTTACAAACGTACCTACAACAACGGCAAATTACGTTCACAATAATACATTTTACTCTGTAATTTTTAAAATGGAGTGAATTTACTTCTTATACAATTTAAAAGCAACATGGTTTAAATCGTAATAAATCAACGTACAAACACAGATAATATTGTTAGTTTATCTTTCAGTTTGTTTTTACTATTTTTAACATTATATAGGTTAAGCGTAACCAAACAAAATTGATTCTACTGGACACAAATCGAAATTATTATTTATWMAAAAACACAKTCACATATTATATATYTTCTGAATGTGCACCGAACAGAAGTCCTCAATACACTGTAATATTAGAATATTAAATACCTCTAACTATTAACTGCYATTGAATGTAATAATTTACGTACCTACCYATATTTACAATCTCATGAAGAACGTTAYTAGCTTATATTAATTARTAATATTATGTTTAGCTTCGTATTTTATTTTAATAATTATTTTATGAGTCACAAGTAGTTACCTTGTATAAAATATKACAAATATTATTCACTATTCGTGATATATCATCCATAATTGTTTGCATTAAGATATGAAAAATATTGGAATTCAACCGTTTTTTTGACAAAAAGAAATATCTATATTTTATCCATCATACTGATAAATCTGTTAATGCGATAAGAAATTTGAAAATATATTTAAATTTGTAATACTTAAAAGCTTAATAATTACTGATGATTAATGATCATCCCACTTAATAAAAATTCTGTAACCTATCCCTTAAACTTGTTTTTTTAAATTTAAAAATTTGAGAATATATAAACAGTAATAATAAATATATACGATAGACAAAAATTACACCTAAACATTTTAATAAAAAGTACCAACTAATCGTCGACTTCAAATTAATGTCACGCGTAGGAGCGCTCTACTATTTGTTTACAATCATAGTCAATATTGTCTTTCACTTTGCCCAGTTAAGAAAACATTTTTAAATAAGCCTTTATTATATTATTTAACTACCTATTTAATGTGATATTGTTATAAATGTTCATTTATATCTAATTAATTGTCACATAGTATACCTATAATTATAATCTCACACTATATATAAAAGATAATTTAGAACTACTATTTTTCTTAATTTTTTTCTATGGTTTCATATTACATTCATACTCATATCATTTATATAATAATGCAAGTATATATTACAAATTATATTACAAAACATGAATAGATATCAATAATGAAAACCCCGTTTTGTTGTTCAATAATATGTAAATATTAATTAAAACCAAGAAATCTGTGATATACTTTAATTGCTCCATGGTTGATTTAAAATCACGATTAAGCTCCCATCAACTATTTAAAACTCTGGCAGTATTCGTAAAAATACATTATGCATTAAGTTTACTTGAGTAAAAGTAAATACTGTATACAGCTGTATACACACCAAGTTGGGGAGTTCACTTGTAATATTCCATAGCGAAACAAGAGCTTTGGTGCTTTGCATAAGACATCAACTATCATGTATAATAGCTGTAATTATACCTCAAGCGTTTTATTCAAATATACAATATTTATGAATATAAAATATATCGTCTGTGCTTTATTTGAAGGTTATTTATAGCATTATACCCGTAACATATCGATTGTTTATTAACTACAACCGTTCATCAAATATAATAACAAATGTATATTTAAAACAAGTTGACTGCCTTGAGTATCATATATGATACACGTCACACGACTAACTATCCAATTTCGTCCTATAYATTTTAACGGAAATGTYAACCTTGTCTTGAGTATCATATAATATACTTCTCACTTATCAGACGAATCTCGTCCTAGAGAAATATTGTAGTCAAACCATGTTGGTCACACTACATTCTTGAATAATGTCGATATTTTTCTACACACGTTTATTTATTTCATGATAACAATTCAATCTGTGATAGTAATTAATCGGTTTAAACTGAGTATCATTATTTGATACTCAGGCCCCAGTAGGATTCTTATTAATCGTTTTGTAAACAATTTCTGTGGTTTTTCTGTTTTTATATTCAACTTAAAGTTATTTATAGTTATTATATATTAAATAATCAATTTATACATCAGTATGGACAACTTATTGCGCTATCATTTTAACTATAAAATTTGAATATCAGGATGATAATAAATATAATATTAATAACTATTTGTTACATTTTTTATGCTTAAATATTTGATTTTATTTGTTAATTTTAGATTATTATGAACATTAATAAGTATAAATATAATAATATATTATAATATTATAATATAAAGATTATTATGATTGTTAGAATGAATCACTTTTTTTTTAAATTTTTAAGTTTTTATAATTTATAGAAAAAAAAAAAAACTAACAAAGTTAGGAGAGAGGCCAAAACACCATATGATTACAAATATTGTGTAGTATTTTATCCAATTGTTGTATTGACATACATTAGTGTTATGAAGTTATAATCTAACTAAATAAATGAGTGCATATATGATACTCAAGACAACCGTGGTAAGTTGTGTTGAGAAGCTAATGTGATACACCAGGCGCCATTGGTAAGTTTGTGTTAATTTACATGAACRAAAATGAAAAGTAGACTGTGTATCATATTTGATACTCAAGTCGATTTTGGTAAGTTAAGTGAAATTGATAGGGCAGTCAACTTGTTTAAACAAATATTTCGTTTTCTCGCAAAAAATGATTGAATGCGTACAGATGAAAATTGTAAATATACCCACACCCGAAATACCATATTATGCCTTTATATTCAATGRACATTTTTTATAATTTCACGTATTTTTTAATTTTTAATTTTTTAATTTAAAATGTTTACTTTAAATTCATTAGTGACTTTTCGATCTGCCAACTKCAGCAGTTGCCTTCTAGCAATTGCCTGTAATAATCAACTATAAGCGATTAAAGGACAGTGGAACATGGTGTTAACCGCTACTACCGTGTTATTGGTCACTGCGGCCATCCATTGCACGGCTAGTTATGACATATTGGCGATATTCCCGTTTAGTGGCAAAAGTCATTTTCACATGTTTCGCACAGTTTCGGAAGCCCTGACAGCTCGGGGACACCACCTCACTGTCGTTGGACACTTTCCCAAATCACCGAAGAAACTCACGAAACTGCAGCAGTCGCAAATTGGTGACGAAAATGGCGGCGGCGACAGGGTTGGGTCATACACTGATTACAGTCTGTTCGGCTCGATGCCAGTGTACGAAAATTTCACAACCGACGAAGTGATGGGTAACGGTCACCTGAAAGAGATGCTGATCATCCTGCAGGATGGTTTGGATAACTGTGAGGCAGTTTTGTCATCGGGTCGACTCAGCCAGCTGATTAAGTCCCGGGCCAAATTCGATCTCGTCCTGGTCGAGGTAAGTGTATGATATGCACATATAATAATATAATCTTCTCTATTGACTATACAGCTATGGAAACCGACTATCGATCGTATTAAGTATATAATATAAATCATTATTATTTATTAATTTATTGTTATAACATATATACAATTATTTTGATGATTGATTTATTGAGACCAAAAAATACTCGTTTCCGAAGTTATCGATTCTTAATAACAATATGATAAATACTGTATTTGCTATGAAATTGCGAGTATTAAAACACAAAGAAAAAACAAAAAAGTTTCTTAAATCTATGATTCAGATATTTTACGAGTTGGACGAAGTGGCGCCTTCAAGTTTCAAAACAATTCTCATAAATCATTTAATTCGTTGCATTCAAAAAATGACTTTTTCTCGGTTAATCCAAAAGTGGAATTAGCATTATTAAAAATAGATGCTATTGACGCTATTGTACACATGACATCGCATTCTCATTCTTTTATTAATATCTTACCAGAAACCCGGTTTCTAACCTTGTTTTTCGTGACATCTCAAAAACTTCAAAAAACATTATTTTCGGTAAATACCTACCATAATTTTTAATTTCTTATCTATAAAGGTACTGTATGATATTTTTTATACTTTTTTTGATGTGTGGACTAAATCAAAAATTAAATGTCGAACAATTTATCTTTATAAGCTTTAGTTTGTTGATCTAAATCTTAGACGATTTGTACTACACTTACAATTGAACACCCACTGTGCAGCTATGATGGACGATGGTACAAATAGTTTGATTATATAGTGAACATTACTTATTCCWGTAAATAATAAAAGCTATTTTAATCATCGAAAATTATACTGTTTGCAATACAATATAATAGGTATGTTAAATTAGATGAACAATTATCTATTGTATTTATTTACTTTATATTATAAAAAATAACCGAAAAATTAAAGAAATCAAAATTTAAATACTTCAATATAAATTACGAGACGTACGAACTTAAAATTCTAAAGTTCTTTATTTACGTGCAATAATAGTTACTATATAGGTTTATTTTATTAATTTTAAAATGTATACTTCATTAAATAATCGATTTCAAATATTTCAATATTGGTATAGGTATTAAGTTAAAAAACCATGATTGTTATTAATCAAGTTAATTTTTAATATATTTATTGCTCTTAATTATTTTGACGTAAATAATGTTTTGATAATGTTTGCCCATAATATATTTTATATATAAGGTGATCCATGACGTAAACGTCAATTATACTCATTATTTTGAAAAGTATTAACTTTTATAAAAATATTAATACAATTTTTTTTTAATCTTTACGTAGTTAAAATATGACAAAATGTTTAGCTTCATATTTTAAAACAGAGTATTTTTTTAAATAATTTAAGCAAAAAGAATAAAAAATATCGATTTTTTAATGAGTAGTTCACTCCCTATTTAATGTTTTAAAGATCAGTTTACCAACGATTGGGGGTCCATGTGCACTCTGCTCCGAATATGAAATTAAAAATATATATTGTCATTTTAAAAAGTAATCATTAAAAAATAATAACGGTAACAAATCGTAAAATAATATTATTTTTTTCAAAAAGTTAAGACTTTGAAATAATGAGTTTAGACCTATACATTTATAATCTAAAATAAAGATTCTATATTCTAAATTATAATAATAAAATGTGATACCTATTCTAGGAAAAACACTTTAGCGAGATCAGTAAATATATTAAATAATATCAATATATTATTATTCAGTAGATACATCACATTCTAAAACAAGTATTAATTCAATTATTAGAATCACTTTACATTTCTCGCATGCAATAGTATTTTAGAGTAAAAGGTAAAATATATTATACAACGATATAACGGACTGCGGACATAGGAAAATAATATCGTATTTATTACATTCAAATTGCCAAAATGGCGTTTATTTTAAGTTATTTTTTGAATTAATAAGTCATTCTATAAATATAAAATCATAATAATACAACTGAGAGCAGTTTGGATTAATGTTGTTTGAAAATTTTCAAACTATAAACAAACCGAACACCATAAAAATAAATGTGCACGAAATAATAAAAATTGGCTTGTCCATATTATCAACGTGATACAATTAAATTCTAACAGTAAATTTTTTATATAGAAGTTGAATGTRGGTCATGCGACTTCCTAGGTGATTTAATGTCATGAACATCAAGTTCCGCGTATTCAATGTAGATTTCATATTTTAAAATCAAAGTTTTGATAGTAAATCAGACATGTGCAGTGCATACATGCAATAAAATTCAATAATATATTTATAAGTGTAAAATCCAGTGAAATCGTTATTATATATAGTGTATASAAAGGTTTCAAGTGTACCTCATCATTGAGGTAACTGATACATGATAATTCATTGCATAATTTATAAAACAATTATTAATGAATATGCTTTATCAATTTCTATGGATATTTCATGATTTATTATATTACTAAAATACATTTTTTTTTTATAATTACTTTTTCTATATGCTGAAAAATTTATTGGAAAAAACATCTCTTATAATATATAATAATCAGTATACTAACACACGTTGTGCGTGTAAATATATTACTTTAATAAATTACAAATTATAGTCTTCAACTAATAAAAAGTGTTTAGTTTAATCTACAAAATGAATACTTAAAAATAAATTAGTCTAAATATTTTAAAAACTTAATTTTGTATAAAACCTAATGACAATTGTCAATTGAAGTAGAAACACAAAGTATCCTCGTGAATAATATTTTTTGAATTACTAAATCATAGCTATAAATATTATTTTTGTTTAGTATCCAATTAATTAACAAAATGTTTGCTTAAACTGTTTATAAAAAATTATAAGAGGAACCTTTTGTTCGTTTTTCAAGCTTTTGGGCTTTAAAATTGAAAATAAAACTATACAATTGCTCTATAAATAGCAACAGATTTTGGAAATTAGTAATTTCCAGAAAATTCTTATGTAGGTATGTACATGTTTGATTGAAATATCAAATATGTACAGTTATTTATCTCGAATAACAACAAAATAACCAAAACAAATGTTGTCATATTATACATGTGTTGCATTGGTAGGTATACGACAAAACTTTTTAACTTCTAAATATAGAATCAACTAGAACTATTTTTTTTTATCTGAAATCCTTTCTAAGTTAAAAATTGACACATTTTTACTCCAAGATGTTATATGATAGACTAAAAAACATATATCATTATATAAAACAATTCATCATTCAAAATCAAAAAAAACTAGCTATCGATTATTTGGATTATTCAATTATTTAAAGGRAATATTGAAAAGTTCCAAGCATGATACAAACATTTCTTTCGGTTTTTTGGGTCAATATTTTGTTGAATATTTCATAGGATATTTGAGTGTTACTAAAAATGATCGTCAATTTTAAATTCAAATAATTCGAGGATAAAAATAAAGAAATATATTACATATAATGCATTGCTCTTTTGTCAAAATGTATATATACATAGTATTATAATATATTATATTAATATAATGTACTAAACAAAACTTTCCAGACATGCATAAAAGTGCACAATAAAGTTATTTAAATTTAATTAAGTTAATCTTCCTTTGTTAAAATTAAAGTGTAAATGAAAATTAGAAGTTTAAAAATAAAATTGACAAATCTTTTTCACACATGTACTATACACTATATTTTAAAAATAAATGAATATCAAAACATAATATTTTTTTTWWAMATTTATTAATAGCGGAAATTATACGTGTATAAATTTTTTATTTTTTTTTTATTTACAATCTGTTACATAAAATTGAACAATAAGTAAAATAGATAAGTGAATAAAGTGACTTGAAGAAAGGACAGATTTAAGGAGCCTTCCAGTGAAGACACTTTGTGTACGTGTATAAATAATTTAATAAAAATGTTTAAATGCAAAATGCAAAAGCCCTTAAAGTATTATAAATTTTAAATTATAATCCAACTAATAGTTTCAGCCTTGGCCTATCTTCAGGTTGTATAAAAATTGTAACATTAAAATGTTTTATTTTTAACATCAATAAACACAATATAATAATAAATTATAAATAAGTCTAAAAACATAAACATCTTAAAAAATAATATTTAACAAATCTATACTAATTTAATAAATTATAATTATATTGTTAATAGTTGGTCAATTAACTATTTTCAATACTTACCTACATTAAAATGGCCATTTTTTTTTTTATTATTACATTTATAATATACTTGACATTCGCAATTTTTTTAAATTATGAATTAATATACGTATTTTTTTCTAATTTATGATTTCTGTGAAATACTACAATCTACTTAATCTATAATTAATATTTTAAAATTTTAATACACGCTTATCAACGTTTATAAAATTTACTCAGTGTTGTTTTTACGAGTATAACGATTCAATTTTAAAACAACCCAACTTTGTTATGCATTCGAAATTAATGGTTAAAGGCTTACATTGAAAGCTCGGGGATAGTGTATTTATGTCCCACTGGTAAAATGTTTTACGCACTAAATTAAAACAAAGTAGAATTTCAGTAATTTGAAGACTTAACGCCCCTCAACGAAGCATACTTCGCATTGACATTGTGTATAAAACTAATGATATAAACAACGCATAATGTTTAAAGTTGGTAATGTWAGAAAGAGAATATTACGATATTACGCAAATCGATAACGTCTACAGCACGCAGTATAATGTTCTTCCAACAATTTTATTTTGATCTCGATTTTTATCTAGATTAAAAAAACTTGAAGCGCTATTTTGAACAAGACTACGAGAAATCGGTGAATAACTTAACACATAATATAACTAATATAATATGTTTATATCATGTTACATAATATATACTATATTTCGTATAGTATAGGTACGTTTTGTATGAAATATTATTATAGAGTTTTGTGTTTACAAACGCGCGTTTTATTAAATAAGCTACATTTTAACGTCAATAATACAATATAATCTTTGACGCATTAAGTAATCCC